AACCTTAAAACCTGTGGCAGATGGGACTTGTACTTCTCAATAGCGATTAGGTCACTGCACTTTAAGGCTGCGTTCACACCTGACCGTTTTGTAGGGCGTTCTACGCTCGACGAACGCTCTACAAAACGGTCAAAAATATAAATTGCATTGTAGTCAATGCTCTCGTTCCCACCTCGCCGTATTTCCGCCCGTCCCTAACGCCCTACAAAACGGCCCACGCCTGAAAAGGTCCCGGGACTACTTTGGGCCGTTTTGTAGGGCGTTTTCCATTTGGATACTGCCAAGTAGCCTTTGGAATCGTGCGACGGTTGTGCGACTTTTTTACCGCAAATCGACAGACGCGCATATTACAATATGCCTAGGTGTGAATGGGGCCTTAGTCCATTCATTTTTCCTCCCATTCCTGTAACTGAGTGTCCGGCTGTCACTATGTCTGCCCTGATAAAGGGACCCTGCGTGGTTCCCAAACGTTGGCTATACAACACATGTGACATGCTGCTTCAATAAAAAGACTACTTTATTTCATCTTATGAGTGCTGGTGATCCTCTTTGCTGTTATCACTGTATACACACGGCGCCATCCATGGACATCACTACAAGCACCAGTACTACTTCAGGTCTCGGTTGCTGTATGGTGTGCAGGGGACATCTTTGTTTATTCGGCTGGAGGAAATGACTGGAGGAAGAGTCTGCCGGAGTCAAAGCATTGCACCCACAATATACTGATCACAGTTACAATGCTTTACTGGCTCCAATGCAAAAAAATAATTAAATAAATGCACAGTTTTTTCTTTCATGAAGATGCGTGCATGTATTTTTTATTTTTTTTCAAAAAGATGTAATTTTGTTTTACATTTAGAAAGCCTTTACAGAATAATAGCTTGTATTTAATGAACACAATAGATCTGCTGCACAAAAATGTGCCTACAAGAGTATACAAAGCTAGCAAATGTTTGTACTGCGCTTTTATTTCTTCAACGACATTGTTTCAGAGGTCGCACACACTGCTCTTCCCCGGTGTCTGCTCCCCCCCACCCTCTGCTTCTGCGCATTTGCAGTACACTAGAGGACTTCCGGTGAGCCGTTCTCTAGCTGCAGCCTTCTGTCATCGTAGCTGGTAATAGCAATGTAAGTAGAACCGTGCATGAACTTTACAGGAATGCTAGACAAGACCTGACTCCCTGAAAGGTCTTGTGATCAGAGGGGTCAGCTTTCACCAGTGTCATATCCACTCAAAAGGTGCCCATACACCTTACGATTATTGTATGCGGCCGATTTTTGTATGCGATCGCGTTTTTGTCCGATATTCGTAAGGTTGATGGACAGTGTACAACCGCAAATACTGTACAATCGATTAACTTTTGACTATCCAGCAGGTTAGAAAACTTCGATCAATCGTAAATTTTTGCAAGGTTGGTGGCGTTTCCGTACCTCAAAATTCGTTTGATTAACACTGCTCATGCACAAACAAAAATACGTGCAGTTGATTACCGAAATTCGTCCAGGTGGTTTTTTTAACGACAGTTGGTTGAATCTTGCGATAATCGGGGCAGGATGGGACCGCCGTGCAAAAATCGTACGACGGTTCGATCATCGGACGAAAAGTTTTGTCCGATGATTGCATGGTGTATGGGCACCTTAACTTCTGGGTGTTCTGATTGCCTAAAGAAGGGTTAGGCAACCTCGGCACTCCAGCTGTGCTGAAACTACAAATTCCATCATGCCTCTGGAAGTCATGTCTATAGCTGTCAATCTTGCAATGCCGCATGGGACTTGTAGTTCCACAACAGCTAGAGTCCTTAGGACCTCTGGGTTAAAGTTTTGGTCCTGAAATTCCATTGTGTTTGCCACCTAGCCTCCACTCACACCTAGGTGACAGTGTTTTCGCAGTTTTGTCTAGCAGTGTGCATGTTTTTACCAGGGGCGTAGATAAGGGGGGAGGGGGGTTCACCCCCCCAGAGTGTCTTGGTCCCATAATTGCATAAAGCACAGCTATATTACCCAGGCCAGCAGAGTGTACCTCCCTGAAATCACTTTTTTGCAATCCCTGTGATATGTAATGCTCCCAATCACAATTAGTGCTCAGGTGTGAGGGAGGAGTGGGTGGTATAGTCTGGGCAGTGGTGACGTGCCTGCTGTCTGTGAGGTGGGTGGGAGGAGCTGCAGAGTCTAATATGATCACAGGGAAATGGCAGGTGCTGCCTCCATCAGCTTCAGTTCCAATCCAAGATACTAGTAATTCCTAAATAATAATTTGCTGTAAAGTATTTGCACCCTGTTGTGCTTCAGAACTATGCACAATCTGTCACCACTGCTTCACTTTACATCATACATTTAGGACCATTGTTCTTAAATAAACCTGTCAGATTTGTATACAGAATTGCTGGTTAATACACGAAGGGCTTATGTATATAGATGAAGTTATGATTTTGTCATGTCATGAAGCACACATAAAATGCACGCCCGTTTACTTTAATAGTGCCGTGTGGATGACAGTCCTGAGGGTGTATATGACCTGTTTTGTGTTGCTTTCTTTGGAACCAGCAGCTTCTATTGGAATGTGTTTGCATTGCAAGCTAAGCAGATCAAACCCAGCCTTTCATGGAGTTTTGCATTAGAACACATGCATTTGAGCAGTGCTGCATTTAAATGCAAAAGGCAGTGATTGGCAACAATACCCTTGACCCAAGTGGTTATCAAGCAAAAATGTCCAGCACTATTATTGTCACGTGTCCAGTGATTTTATCATCATTTTTTATAGGCTCTGTAATTGCGAGTGGCACATCTACATTACATCTTACAGGCTTGCCTACATGACTTTGTACACAAGCTGAGATTGATTGTATTTTATATACTCTATGCTATCAGCCAGGCTTGCCTGCAGTAACTGTTATTGTTTTGGATCAACAGACATTAACCCCTTCAGCCCAACAGGCTTAACCCCACCCCATTCCTGACCAGTCCATTTTTTGCTATTCGGTACTGCCCTACTTCAACTGACAATTACTCGCTAATACAACACTGTACCCAAATGAAATTTATATCATTTTTTTTACACAAATATAGCTTTCTTTTAGTGGTATTTGATTTTTTTTTTATATATAAATAAAAGGAGACCAAATATTCAGAAATAAAATGATATTTTCTACTTTCTGTTATAAAAAATATCAAATAAAAATCAAATTTCTTCATAAAGTTAGGCCAAAATGTATTATTTTATTGTATTTTATTTATTTGGTGCCTGCTGCATATTTTTAATATATATGTTTTGAAAATACTCAGTGAAAATGTGCATTGGGTAGGTACCAAGTATAAGTATTTTTAAAACATGGTTTTTATCCTAATAGTGTAAAACAACAAAATCGATATTGCTCAAGGTAAAGGATTGGTACAGAGCTTGTTCACACCAAATGCAGACCAGATCTGCATGAGTTTCTGCACACGCAGTGCAGTGGGTTGTGCTGCGTTTTTGTTGTGTTCCGGGCCGTTTTTGGAAAAAAAAATAAAAATGTTTTAGTTTAGAATGGGCTTTCAGTGTGTTCCAGGGCGTTTGCATGCATGTTTGATGCATTTGCATGCATTCCAGAGCAGGTAAAATAGGGCTTGCTGAAGTTTTTTTACATGCTCTGGAACTGAACGCTGCGGTGTGAACTAGAGCCCAAAATACCATTGGAATACATTGGACGCAGTTTGATCCAGTCTGTAACTGCTCTGCTCAGCTCTTGGAATACGCTTGGTGTGAACAAGGCCTTAGGAAGGATATGGCTGGTATATTTTTTGAAATCTTGGTGTGTCTGCTAGATAAAGTCTTATAAAAGTGCGAAAAAAAATGTGAAAAAGCTTGTGCCCCATGTTTAGCCCCCTTTCACACCATCACTTTCCGTGACCACAGGCCAAACGTGGGAAAAACTGCACACTTTGATGCGCATTCACAAAACACACACCAAACGCGGAACGTGCTTGCAGTGCCATTGCTAGTTACTGGCACTAGTTAATGGCACCCCAAACACGGCCAGGAAAATAAGCGGTTTTCCTGCACATTTGTGGAACGCATGTTGCAGATTCTGCTACATGCACTACTTACAGAAACCTATTGAAATAAATGTGGATGCATGCCAAACGTGGAAAACGTGGGCTTACAGGCATTCCCATATGAGACCAAAAGTGCAGAAATCTGCAGAAAAGTAACTCACTTGTGCAATAATCAAGGAAGGGTACACGTAGCGAATTTAAAATATACAAATAACCATTAAAGCGGACCTTTACACTCAAAAATCAAATTCTACCAATGCATCCCTCTATGTATGATGATTAATAATAACATAGACATGTCAGGTGTAAAATTCTGTGATTATGAAATACTTACACTTGCAGAGCATTCACTTCCTGCTTTGAATGTGCAAAATGACTTCAGTCCTAGTCACATGTGCCTGAAATCCAGGAACTAATAGGAGAGCTAGTAATGTGCCCTTAGTAAACATGGCCACTGTCAGAGGACTGGGGAAGAAAAAGAATACAAAGCCAGCAATTATCTAGAAGTATGTGTTTGTAGATTGTCATTAGTAAACATTTGTAAAGGCGTGTTTGTTGTTATTTTAAAGATATGGGTAAAGGTCCTTTTTATGTATGTCATTAATGGAATTACTAAATTAAAATGAAAACATCCTACTGTCGGTTTACCTGATTTGTTCTGGCTCCTTGTTAGTTGGGTTTTAATTGTATGTATTTTTATAGAATTAAACCTAGGCACATGAACTGTTATCTCCATGGGAAGAGTACCACAAGGGTTTTAAGAGGATCAACCCGACAAAAAACACTGTGGTTCCCTACAATGCTAAGTTTAAGAAAAACACACTATACTTTGATGTGATACATTGTATACTAAACAATCTTTGTTTTTGTTTTTTAGTAACTCATAAAAGAGGCAAAAGAAACCCTCCAAAATGATGGCTTCAAATCAAAGAGGCAAAAAGAAAAAGAAGCCCTTGGTTGCCAATTATTTTGTTTCTCTGCCCATTACAAATGAAAAGGTATATCTTGAATGTATAGTACAGCACCTCATCCTGCTCAAAGTGTTGTATATGCCACAGTATAGGTCCACAAGTGCTGAATATAGGCACAGTCAATGAGCCATCACCAATATCTTAAAGTAGTATTAAATGCTCAACTTTTTTTCAATAATGCATTTAGATCAAACAAAAAATAAATTGCCCACCGAAGTATTTCTTTGACATTTTTGACCAAGCATTACATCCAAATAGTTGGCTCCAACTCTCTCTGCTTCCCTGAACTTCCTGCCCAGTACAAGATCACAAGGGGCAGAGCAGTCTGCAGAAGCTGTGCATCTACTATCTTAACCACTTCAAGACCAGGTGTTTAGACCCCCTTCCTGGCCAGGCCATTTTTCAGTATTCAAGAGGAGGTGTCTTGTCTTGCTGTGTCTGTGTGTTTGTGAAGACACACACAGCTTACTATCACAAACATGCGTGGCTCTATAGGACCCTGCAAGGGAAAGGGGCCATCCCAATACAGGATATCAGGGCCAGTGCTCAGGGGACCAGCTGATCCTGCACATAGCTAAAATGTATAAACATGAAGGAGCAGCATCTATTATAACTGATTTAATCAGTATTTTAAATAGATGAAAAAACTTGTGACAGTAATATCACTTTAAAGCTGAACTCCAGCTATAAATATTTATGTACACTTACATTGGTCCTGCTTTGTACAAAGTATATATATTTTGTACCTGTTGAACCCACAGGAATTCTGTAGAATACTGCAGTAGCACTGGCTACTACAGTGTTTTCTAGGATCCCAGAGGACCAAATGGGTATAATATATATATAGATCTATACATAGATCTATATATATATATATATGTTGTGGCAACCAGGACCAATGTAATATATAGTTGGAGTTCAGCTTTAAACACAAAGAATGCCTCTCACTATAGATGACTGATATATTTATGTTACTCTTTTCAAGGTTTTCAATGGTGCCTTGTGCTGCGGATGCCTGCTCTCTCCCCCCCTTCTTCCTATCCCCTTGCCCCCTCCCCTCTCTAGGTTTTTCCTCCCTCCATTGACCTTCCCACACCCCTTCTGGAGTACATTCTATTGTGTTGTTTATACATACTCATTGATTTCTTGCTTGCTTGAAATGTCATTTACAGTACAATATGCAATTGCATAATTATTTTGGTGTATATGAGCAGACATTTATAGAAACTGTTGCACAGCACTTCTAAAGTGGTGCAGCTGGTGCAGCAACATAGGTCTCGTCTTATAACATGTTCATTTGGTGGAAGGCAAATGTGCCAACGCTTACACCACAAAATTGACATATTTCCCATTGTTATTTCACCCTAGTGAGTGCTGCGCCATGACAGTGGAAAATATGGTGCCACATTCACAGCCTGATATAGTCTGATCTTTGGATATTTCCATAACAAATACCAAAAATGCATTCCTGCATACCAAATGTCTGAGAACCTGAAATTATAAGGCTGATTTCTCCAAATGAGAACCTGATCTGAACATCGCTAAGGATAGGTATATAGGGATTGATTTTCCTGATGATTCATCTATACTTAGTGGAGAGACAGCCAGGGAGATTGGAAATGCCAGAAGACTATTTGGTAACTGGTTTCGGAAGCTCAACCCCAGCTGAATGTTATTCTAAAATTTATCTTGCAGACATTAGTTGTGTCTGAATGCGTGCCGTAATGGGTCTCCCCCAGCTGTGAGATCCAAGAGGATGGAGCGCAACCCTCGCCTTCTCACTGCTCAGACTCCAGCTTAAGGAGTAAAGCTGGAAGAGGCATATCTACAACAAATTGCACCCCTGGCATCCCGCCTAGCTCCTGGCAACCAGTGAGCTAGGCGGGTTGCCAGGAGCTGGGCAACCGATTGGACCATTAAACTGCGCCTTGCTGGCAACCAGTGACATCACTGGTTGCCAGGAACTGAGCGGCACACTGGACAGAGCGTCACTGGTTGCTAAGAGGCAGGCAGAGAGATGTGTATGGAAGAGGGGTGGAGAGAGAAAAAAGTCTGCTGTCTCCGTGGGTCAGCGAACGTTTGCTGACCCACGGAGCTGCACCCCCCGCCATTCAAGTGGTGGCCAGGGCATGTGCTGTATGTGCCAAACCCTGGATACACCAATGAAAGCTGGCAATACACAGCTCAAAATTTGTGCTGTGGGCCGCCTTATCGCACTGTGGGTGACACCATTTCATTCAACAGAAGTAATTTTTTTCAATTGTCTTATGTCGAAGAAACTGGGCTGAAAAATGTTAGCCAAACTGTAACTGCAGTCAATTCAATCCAGTGACTAAATTCACAAAGCTGCAGGCCCATAGCTGCCAGAATACAATATCCCGGCAGGGGAGATTCACTCTGATGGAGTTTTCTGTGACATCACTACCCCTGTTAAGTATTAGGCAGTATATTCAGATTGTGCATGATGTTACACTGACAAAGAAGTTGATGTAAAAACATTCAAGAACATTTGTGGCTCCCATTACATTCATTTGTTTCCAGTTGAAATGTGCAATGCTAGCATTAGGTTATGAAGGTTAGAATTTAGAGAAGATAACTGTCACTGTATTTTCATGCTTAGATTCTCTAAAGCATCCGGATTTTTCAAGATAGTGTTATACAGAAGTATGGCAGATTCTCTTCAGTGATGAAAACGAAGGGCTCATTTCACATTACACTGTGTCTGATGCAAATAACCAGAGAAGAAGATGTGAGCATGTAAGTAAGGGTTATGCTGCAGAAAAAAAATGTTCATAGTTCATTATTTTTCTGCTTCAAGAAAAACTGAAATCAAAACAAAAACAAATCTTTGGCTGAAGCTCAGGGGACTGAGGCAGGGGTGGACAACTCCGACCCACCCAACTGTTTACTGACAGTTACAGGCATGACTCCCAGTGGCATATTGGGATTTGTAGTTAAAGCACAGCTGGAGGGCTGAAGTTTTCCACCGGTGGACTAAGGCTAAGTTCACACAGACGATAAAGGGGTGGTAAAAACAGACCCTAACTCCTGCTTACCTACATGGCAGATGGTATACATCAATATACATTGCTGCGGCTTTGATGCTTCACTTTGCATTGTGGCAAATTTAACTCGCCCTGTCATGGTGCCACTTGCAAACTGTGCCCATTGAAATCAGTGGGACTACACCGCAACTGTGTGCCAAACATTTGGGTGCGGCCTCCTGAACACCATCAATCATCTTCTCTGAAAAGTGATCAACCGCGGATTGCTTTTCAGAGAGGCGGTAAAGTCCACTGCCTGTGTGAACAAGGCCTAAATCAGTTGTTGTTAAGTTATAAGATATAACAGGCCTCAAATGAACCCCTTAATGTCTCCAAAGGGTCATACATATTATTCATTATATGTAATACTACAAAAAATTGTCATAGACTAAAGACTTACTAGAGGAAATGGACATGTTATATTAAACTGTTAGAGATTACTTTTACGAAAGACTTCTTTACAATTTACTGCTCCCTCTTCTGACTGCTGCTGCAGAGAAGTGCACTTCAAACACCAAAGGGCCTCAGGTTGGGCACCAGGGGACTAAATACTTGCTACCTTTTGATGAGGGAGTAGATGGGCCCTCTTTGTTATTGAATGGTGGTACCTGGAGTTCATGTATAACAGTAACTGAAATAAAATTTGTGTATTTTGCCAACAGAGACCAGCTTTTCTCCTTGTTGAGTCCTGCACTCACATGAGGAGAAGAGATAAGCTCACTACAAGCAACACATAAAATTGTTCACTTCAAACATGAAGGGGAAATTATTAGGCTGGCTTTAAGGACCTGTGTCGACGATAAGGTTGCTACTTTCTGGGGAAAAAAGTACCAGCCTTATAATATTTTTTTCTATTAAATACATTAAAAATAAATCCCAGGTGGGAAACCTAGCCATGAGGCAATTTTAGGGTCAGAATTCCTTCTCTCCATAAAAAGTCTATGAAATGCAAAAGCAGCTTGAAGCAGGTCAAATGCAAGTCAACTCTGTTGCCCTGTGGAGCCAGGAAGAGCACTGTGTAACTTCCGATCAATCCCAGTAAGCCATTTGCCAATCACCAGTGTTGTCATGGGAGTAAATATCAAAAGACTGGATAAGGTAGAATCTTCATATAGCAGGTTTAATAATAACAACTGCAGCTTGGAAGAAGCAACAGGTAGTTTAAAGAACAGAGGCTTACAGGCCCCTTTTAAGAGAACCACATGGGCTACAATATGATTGGCTGCCAAGGTCTATTTCACTGCAACTTACAATAAATTTTACATTTATGAGACAGTATGTCTCCTAACTGGTTCTAGACCCTTCTATATGAATTCAGTCTAAGCCCAAGCACCTGAATTGATGTGCTCACATGCCGAGTGTGTCTTGTATTCTCTTAGGATTCATCTAAAATTCATCTAGCAAGCAGTAGATATATATGCAAAAACATTGGAAAAAAAAGTTACCAAGAAGGTAATTACTTACCTGTGTCCCCACCGCTCGTTCCAGCTTGAATATCTGGAGTTTCTCGAGCGGCCGAGCAGAATGATGGGTGGGCGCATGCGCAGTAGAGATCTTAGGCAGAGAGAAGAGGAGAGATACAGTGGAGGTGAATGCATGCAGTTGGGAGAGTGCATGTCGGACAGACACCGTGGGACACAAAATACACAGCAGTCAGCGCTGGATCAAAGACCGGCACCAGTGATTGTGGGATTTCTGAATAAAAATGGAAGGAAGAAAATGATTGGATCAAGAGGCATCATTCAAGGTAGGTCCTTAAAGCAGCGTGGTGAGGGGAGGAAAAGAATTGTGACTTTAATGTCACTTTAGAATACACATGATCACCTATTTCTCTTTGTTCCCGAATGGAGTGGCCAGGGAGTGAAGGGAAAAAAACAATACAACTGTTGCTCTGTGCTGACATGCTTTTTTATCTAGTTTCTTTTTTCCTAGAGCGATTGATGCACTTTTGGAGAGTAAGGCGAAGATTGAGCACATTCTGCAGGGAAAAGACTTGGTCCTTCAGTTCCCTGGTGTATCTGATTTTAATAGTCAAGTTGTCTTTGCAAAGATAGCTGAAGATGCTTCCAAAGCTAAGCTTAAAGAAATTACTGGTAAGAGCATGCCACAAAAAAATTAATTTGATAATTTACGGTAAGTTCTGTATTCCAAGTAATGCTATTAGTCCGGTATCCTGTTATTATGTTGCACCCCTTTCAATATTCCATTCTGTTACCAGGATGCTTCAAAAATAGTATTTGGTGTGGCATCGCTAACAGGACTGCTTTATCTTTAGAGAAGTACTGTGTGCTATTTTCTCCGTCAGAAGAAGGCCTGTATAAGCATATGAACTGGAACTTCACAAATTGAGAAATATTGCTAGGGGAAGCATATAGTCAGAATGTGCCTGAAAAGCAGCTGTTTCTATTCGGCTGTGGGCCAGCCTTTAAAGGGCATGCTGTATGTTCTTATAGGGTGTCTTTTTTGGTTGTTCCTCACCTCTCTGAACCTATTTTTTACCTTAATATCATAGTAGTGGCCTCCTCAGGCTAAGCTTTGTTTACTTACTTCTGGGCAATATTATATGCCTACTGGTCGTGCTTGCGTAGTCCCATTCTATAGTGATAAATATCTCCACATTTTGAGCGTCTCAAGTCTTAGATAAGGAAACAACATTTAGATTAGGATGTAATTTGGTAAATTGCAGCGTTATTTAAATTAGTTCAATGTTTGTGCAACATTTTGCAAGCATACAACGTATTGCGCAAATGTGCGTTATTGGTTGCTAGGAAGCTAGGTGGCTCCAGCGAAGGCCTGCATCCTAGCAACAAAGGACTCTAGGTGGTGCAGGCCACCTGCTTTCTAGCAATTAAGGATGCATGCCTGTTTATTTATTTACGGCTGTGCATTTGCTGACTGACCTCCGACAGTTATTTATGAATTCATGAATGACTAAATGCCTGTCATTCTGTACATGCACCACTGCCAATGAGTGAATGACTCGTTCAGGGCCAAAATCTAAACATCAATAGTGTGTAATCAGTGGTATAGGTGCTGCAGGCTACACATTGTGGATAATGATTTAAGGGCTGCATTAACACTGTGAGCTTGAACGACTGTTACAGACATACAGCGTACTCGCAACATTTTACGCAGAATCTTGCTGCCAGCTTCTGCCAGCAGGACATTGAGTGTTTCTATAGACCCCTGTGCATGAGTCCTTGCACTTGCATTTTGCAGGTATATACCGCTTTGTCAGAAGCTACAAATGTGTTCCACAACTAATTCTGTATATTCAAAGACACAATAAAGTGCTCATGATTAAATAGGGACATCTAGTGCCCAAAGAACACAGCTACAAAAATCAAGACTATGAGATCTATTATTCTGAGGACATCTAGTGTTCAAATTATGTAGTTGCATTACCTCTATGTCAGCTCTACTGCTCACTTCTGCACTGCCCCTTTCTCAGCTCTACTTTCAAATGTTATCCTTCCTATGTAACCCTTTTCTCTGTTCCTCTACTGTCATCTTTAGTATTGCACTCACCTCACTGTTGCCCCTTTACCAGAAATCCTCCCTTTTAGAGCCTCTGCTCCCCAAGTTACCATCAATTTTCTCCGGGTGTTTTTTTACCACTCTTCTACATCTAAACATTATGTCACTTTTAACAAAACTCCTGTAGCTCGAAAAAGTACATGAGCTTCTTTTAAGGCAGTGTCAAACGTTTTAGCCCCAATAGACTCCAATTACTATGCCTGCAAAATATGGAAAAATGCCCCAAATTCTTGTTTTTAATAATACCAATAAAAAGAACGTTCAAGCCTGAAATGCGTGCAAAAAACACTTATACAAAACCTCAAAAAACACCTGAAACAATTCTAAATTAGCAAGAATAGGCAGACATTGCTATATCATGACATGTCTCTTCTATAATATTCTATATACTTCAAGGGTGCTACAGCAAACATCTAGAAACTTTTTCTAAACTGTTACATATTCTTGTAACCTGTACTTCCCATTCCCATTCTATTGACATTCTAAACAGCATGTACAACTCTCTCTTAAAGTTTTTAAAGTTCTCTTTATTTTTTTTACACATATATTTAGTGCTAAGAATGGATACTTTAAACATCTTGTACAAAATTTGTTTTAACGTTGATTTCTGTCACTAACTTGCAGATACTTTAAAAAACACATTCAAAGACAAAGAGCTTTTTAAAGTGGTAAACAAAAGCTCTATACCACATTTGACGCTCATGAAGATGGAAAGTGCACCAGACTTACAAGAGCAGGTGAGACTTTTAAAGTGGAAATCTAGGTTATTTTTTTGTTTTATTATCACCTGATCACCTCTGTCTTATACAACTGGCTTTCTCCTGTCCACCAACTTTAAATGTTCTAAAACTTTAATGTTAACTTCAAGCTAAGATATTGATTTGTCTATGGTTAGTGCAATGTGGTACAGCTGCAGTAAAAGCTTTAGTAGTTATACAAGCACTCAGAAAGCAGCAAGAGGTAGGGCATACAGTGGTAATGACAGCAGGGCTGAAGCTACCTGCCCACCAGTAAAAAGCCATTTATAGTTAATGTTAGCATAAAATCCCTGCTCTAACTGGTATGTTTATCTTTTAACTTTCAACAGGATATTGAAAAAGATATATGCTAGCAATAGAATAGCAATAGATAAATAAGCCATTTGGGCCCCATTCACACTTGTGATTGGGTCAACTGGGTGAGTCTGCAGCTACTGCAAGAGGTGAACGGCTTATTTGCCTGACAAATGCAGTAGCTCCTTTACAATATATTTGTATCAGCTTTTAATAAATCTTTGTATCCTCCTGAGATATAGAGTAGTCTTGATCCAGGAGGGCAGGGGGTTGCCCATCAGGAAGTCGGGTCCCAGCAGCTGAGGTGGAGGAGGCCGGGGCTTACAGATAAGAGGTGTGCAGGGAAAGGGACCCCAACCAGCGCACCTGAGACCCTGCAGAGCCCACCATAGAGAGTCTATAGTAGGCTCTGCAAGGTCACTCTCAGGTGGGCTGTGTGTGGTCTCAGGTGGGCTATGCAGGGTCTATGATGGGCTGTGCAGGGTCTCAAGTGGGCTGCACAGGGTCTCATGTTGGCTCTGCAGGGTCACTCTCAGGTGGGCTGTGCAGGGTCTCTGGTATGTGGAGAGTCTCAGGTGAACTCTGCAGGGTCTCAGGTCGGCTCTGCAGTGTCACTCTCAGGTGGTCTGTGTGAAGTCTCAGGTGGGCCGTGCAGGGTCACTGGTATGTGCAGGGTCTCAGGTGGGCTCTGCAGGGTCTCAAGTGGGCTGTGCGGGGTCTCAGGTAGGCTGTGCGGGGTCCCAGGTAGGCTGTGCAGAGTCTTGGGTCGGCTGTGTGTGGTCTCTGGTGGGCTCTGCAGGGTCTCAGGTGGGTTCTGGGGGTCTGTGGTGGGCTCTGCTGTGTGACTCTCAGGTGGGCTCTGCAGTGTCACTCTCAGGTGGGCTCTGCAGGGTCTCTGGTGGGCTGTGCAGGGTCTATGGTGTGTGCAGGAGTGATCTGTTTTTCCTTTTT